TAGATTTTGCCACATGTAATCACTTATCTATACGCTTTCAGATTAAAGATAATAATACTGAAGGATTTCTTCACACCGTTTTAAACAGAATATACAGGGTGGTTGGTAAATGGTAGTACGAGCGGAAAGGGGGTGATTCTACGCGAAAAAAAGAAGTCGAAAATATAGAATAAAAATTTTTCGTCTGAGGCTTTGTTTTCGAGAAAATCGACTTTGAATTTTCGCTCGGTACGCGTGCACTTTATCGCGTCTCGTTGTAACGAATCTCACTGTAGATCGTTGTCTCGATGGAAAAATTAAAAAAAGAAAATTAAAAACAATTTTTATTCTATATTTTCGACTTCTTTTTTTCGCGTAGAATCACCCCCTTTCCGCTCGTACTACCATTTACCAACCACCCTGTATATTCTGTTTAAAACGGTGTGAAGAAATCCTTCAGTATTATTATCTTTAATCTGAAAGCGTATAGATAAGTGATTACATGTGGCAAAATCTAATAACTCGAACAAAAACCAAAATCTACGTAAGAAACAATTTAAGAGGGTCATAAAACCTGCACAAAGAAAACAGAACACCTGTGAGAAATAAGAAATACCGTAAGGAGGGTAGAATATTCGCAGAAAGAGGCTTCCTAGGAACAAGAGACGAAATTTCTACGAAATAGAAAGTGGAAAAGAGATAGACTGAGCATTTGTAGAGGTTCCGCAGGGTGGAACGACGACGGTGACCGCAAATTCTATTTGGCCCGATGGAAAACGCGCGCCGTATGCCGCGAGGGGTTGCAATTCGCCGCTTCCACCCTGCAACCTTCCGTATTTCCTTGGTTGCGCGCGAGTCGCTGGATTCTAATGGATCCCCTGCCCGTAAATCCTACCCCCAGGAAGTTGCCCCCGCCGTAGCATCGATTACCATCGAAGATACTTTTGAAAATAACTGCTATTGCCAAGTTGACGGTAAACAGAGCAATGGAAACGTGCTGGCCAAGTCTTTCCTAGCATCCTGATTGGATTCCAGGGAGAATTATATTTGCCTTTTGAATATTGGCTACATTGGATTTGAATTTCAATCCAATAAATATTCAGAGTGTTTGCAATGAAATGTAATGGAATTGTGACGGGATTAAAGGAAATAGAATACTTTTAAGAAGTAGCAAGTATTGGAGAATACTGATTTTAATAGTACAGAGATAATAGAAGGAATAGAGAATTTGGAAATTTTGGACAGATCTACAGGGTGGTTGGTAACTGGTGGTACAAGCGGAAAGGGGGTGATTCTACCCGAAAAAAGAAGTCGAAAATATAGAATAAAAATTTTTCGTTTGAGGCTTTGTTTTCGAGAAAATCGACTTTGAATTTTCGCTCGGTATGCGTGCGGTACGTTATAACGGATCTCGCTGTAGATCGTTGTCTCGATGGAAAAATTAAAAAAGAAAATTAAAAAATATTTCTCGTATTATCTGTTACATATTGCATTTATTGTATATATCATATTATATTATTATTATTTATTATATACATATTATATGTACGCATTATGTGTGTTTTTTACTTTATTTTAATTATTTTGTTCTATATTTTTTATTAAAAAGAATTTATTCTATGTGTTTGATTTATTGCTTCTTGATATATCTTGTGAGTTTGATAATAAGGTGAAGTGCAGTTTGGATTGGAATTTGGAAACTTGAACTTTAAGTTGAACGTGTATATCTGGATCTAAGCTTCGTTCAGGTCAATTGAATTTGATGTAGCATGTGCAGGCTTGAACTTAAATTTAAATAGAAGATTTTGAATGTAAATTGACATTTTCGAATTTGAATTTTAAACTGGAAACTTCATTGTATATTTGAAACTAAAAAGTTACATTTGGATACGAATACATGAAAATATAAATTTTTCTTAAGTACGAGTATCATTTTCCAGGTGTTTTTCTCGATATGACGATGACCGTATACCATAAATTAACCAACATATTGCTACCATAATGAAATTCAATCTTCAAGTCTACAGCCCATATTCCAGCACCATTTTCTGGCCGAAATTCCGGCAACTTCTATTTCACTCATAGAAATTCTAAGAGCAGCATCCTGCGGAAATCTCGTCTATTTCTGCAAAATCCTGTCCACGTACCGGTGAATTCTAGGCAATGATCCTGGATTTCGTATATACTTAGATAGAAGTTCCGTGTGTACGGGTTGTGTGCAGAGATTGTCGCAGTATTCGGATGGAAGAAAGAGGAGGCAGCAGGTGGTCCTCGGTTTTACGAGCGGTCGCCAAAGGGCAGTATACCGGATGTCGTTTACATGCGAATCGCTCATCGGGGAGAAACTCTGCCGCGGATAAACTCTGGATTTGCGCGTGCCCGCAATTTATGCTAACTCACTGATTCGACGTCGTTCGTTGAACGCCGATCATGACAAACAAATGGAGGCTGGGCCGCTATCTCCTATTTCATTTCTCTCTTTCACGTTTCATTTCGTTTTTTGTCTTCTTTGTTCAAAGGAGATTGGAATTTTGTTTTATACGCTGATTGGTAAACTGTATTGGTCAAGTTTTTTTTCTGATTGAAACAATAGTCTTAATATGTTCAAAATTACATCAATTTTGATACTAAAGTGTTGTATTTTGAATATATATTATAGCTTGGTTATAAGAAGAGTTTTAATAAAATTTTATTCAAACTTAGATTCAAATAGCCAGACTCACATTTAAATATAGATATTATATTATTTCTGATTGAAATTGTAGTGGTTGATCCTTTCCCCAAATTGCTTAAGGCTATATCAAATTTTAAATATTATAGTTTGTTTCAAATTTGGAGAGAGAGTTTTAAACAAAGTATCATTCATATTTACATATTCAGGATCAGATTTAAATTTAAAGATTATATAGACATATTGTTTCTTTAAAATTCAGATAAAAAATCATATGAATTTAGAGTGACTGGGGACAACTTATAAACCTGTAAGTTCAATATATTATAATATACATATATATACCTGAATGTATATATTCAATCTGAAGTTCAAGTTTCCAAATTCTAATTTAAATTCCACCTCATGCTGTCATCCATTCCACAAGCCACGCCCACAGGACCACTTCTCATTGTCAGTCTCCCTAATAAACAAATTTCCACATCTTGGACAGCGCCTTAGTCTTTGCTCTAGACAAACGTCCTTAAATTCCCCTAGGAATCTGCAGAACATTCACTATCCATCATACAGCCACTTTCCACGCAAGAAAAATCATCAATTCCATCATCTCAATCGACAAGCGTCCCGATCTCGTTATGGACATCTACCCACTTTTTTATGGAAGATGAACTTTTTTATGGGGCTTTTGAATTTCAAAAGCTTTACATAACCAAGGAATCGCCCCGACGTCGCGACGCCTCTTCAGGAGTCAGGGGTTGATACGTTAGACGCGAGCTCATCAAGAAAACGAGTACCCATCGTGAATACTGATGTGCCACGATCGCGGGGGTAGCTTCTACCCGCCCCCATAATTCCCAGTCTGTCCACCGGTAGCTAGGTTCAGTGAAGTCGGCTGCGATTCTTCCTATTTTCCACGGAAGATGAGTTCGTTTCCCTCGTACGATCACTCGTATTGTATTCCAATATTCAAACCGCCTTTGCGATCGTTATCTGAAAATGGAAGACACGAATAACGTTGGAAAGTGGGGAGACAGGTTTTCTTCAGGGAGTTTGTATGATCCGACAGAGATTATCGGAATATAAGATAGGGAATATGAAATGGGGGTATATTTTCGTGTATGGAATTTGATTGGAATGATTGATTTTGTTCTAGATATTTTGTTGTTGGGTATTTGTAACGCAAAAATTTGGATTTGGGGTTCCCAGTATCATGTGGTAGAATTTTGTGATGTAATTGTAAAATAATAAAATTGGAATTGCGTTGAAGTTTAGTTTCGTGTAGCTTTATTTTTCAAGATTTTATTTCTTATTTATTTAGTTACCAGTTATTCTAGTTTATTAGTTATTTTATTTTATTACTACATATATTACTGTATTATTTAAATACGAGTAATATTTTAGTATTGTATTCTTTTACTATATCATATGGGTAGCAAACATAAGACACATATAATAGAATACTTACAAATAAGAGGAACCTAGACGAAAAGCTTTAATTTAATGTATATTCTTTATTCTGCTCTTTAGAGAAGTGAAAATGTTACTAGCTAAAATACTAAAAAGTTACTAACTAAAATAATATCTTTAAAGTACTATATACAATTATAACCTTCTACGACATGTAAGAATTAGATGAAAAAGATTTCACAAATATTAAATTACACAATGTAAAAATATATAAAGAATGACTACATATTTAAATGAATTGTATGGAAGTGTTCAAATGAGAGCGGCAGACGCATTCATGTAACAGGTATAAAGGCTAAAAACCGACAATATATTATGGTAGAGGAAGGTGGACCGGAAAGAGGCAGCGTGGTCGCGCGGCAGCCGCCACGTGCTTCGAGTCGAGTAGTGGCGAACAGCACCGAACATGGCCGAACGCGAGATTTCATGTCAGAACCCAGTGTCGGAATGCTTTGCTCTCAGTCGTAGGCGCGTGCCACGTACCGCCGTGTCACCAAGTGTGGGTGTTTATTCGTTTTCCTCGTTTTGACATATCTCTTCGTGCCGCTACTCGCGTGTTACTCTATTTAACAAATCGTCGACAAATATCGATATAATTTACCACCAACTGTATATTCATCGATTTATCCAATTAATTTATATAATTTAAGTTTAGCTCAAATACAAACTTTTTCCTAATCTATAAGCCGGCATGAGTTTATGACATTATCATTGGTGAAATAGTGATTAAGTGGTTAAATAATATCGAACTAGCGACTCGAAAATTTATCGAATGACGAATTTCAAAGATTGAGTGACGTGCAGTGTCACGTGAAGCGAAATGAAGAATCGCTTAAGAATGTACCGGTGGCAACAACAACGACACATCAGATAAGAGGTAAGCTGAGAAAGAACTGGTAAAGTAATGTTTCGCAAACTGGCCATGGTTTAAGACTTGTTTGGCCAGTTATTCGAAGCGGTATATTTTTAGGAACCTTTTTAGGAACTGCTTAAGAATCTTTTTATGAATTTTCTTCCAGCGCATATTGAGATATGGATAGATGAGATATTTCTTTATTTTACATACACAACACTAGGCTTTTCTACTACGAAATTTTACAAGTCAGTTTTACCAATTACCAATGACACCCTATTGCATTACAATAACAATTTCAGTCACAAATCAAAAGCAACCATACAACTAAGATTGTAAAGTTATAAAATTTTATAACGTACAATCCTCAATTTATTATTTGTCAATTACTACTTATTATTATTACGTACTAAATTATTGTTTTAGAGGAGAACTCGAAGGTACATTCTTAGAAATATGCTTTAAGAATTGGTGGAGATAGCGACGGTTGGTTAATAAAGTAAAATCCAGTTCACTTAAGGCGACATAGTTGTATAATATTACTTTTTCTGAGGAGTCATTTTTGTGTATCACTTCGAGATCTCACTCTGTTCGTCGAAAGGAATACTCCGTGATTCTCATTTGATTTATTGCGACGACGGCCGACTTCGCTGTGACAAGAAACGCGGAACGGAAATTGAAACGGAACGATGACAGAGAGAACGACAGTCTTTGAAGATGCACCAATTAGGGGGCAAGTTTTCGAGTTTGTCCGCACGAAATGCCAAGGACCGTTACTTAGTGGTGCAGCTCTTTTCAACGCATTTCGCGTTGCGATTTTTAATTAGCTCCCGGTCGACACTAGAGATTAAAGTACCGCGGCATGCATATTCACTGTTGCGGTTAAGTCGTTGGTGTTTCGTCCGTTGGAAAATACTGTGATTCGCGCGGCACGGTGTTTTGAGGTTATGAGTGGAAGAAATAATTTTTCTCATGCGGAACGAGTGAAAAGTTCAAAGTTAAAAAATTAAATTACGAAGGATTAAAGGAGAAAATTCTGTTAAGTAACCATATTTCATTTCTTTATGGTTATATTCAGCTTGCATGTGTAATTATTAATATAACTGATATGTATCTGATTTTGGGATGGTGAAAATGTTTTGTACAATGATTTGCAACTACATTCGTGAACTGTAACCAACTAGTACACTACCGAGACTGTTTGCATTTTTCTAAAAGTTGATTCTTTATTTTATTTGTCTTTGCTCATAAATTTGTAGTAGATACTACTATGTTACGTTTAATTCTTTTATATCATTTTATTTTTAGACTTATCTTTCAGCTAGAATTAACTGTTATACTCCTTAGGCTATTTACATTTTTCTTGAAATTAATCCATTGTTACTCATTTCTATTTAACCATAAATTCATAATATATATTCATAGTAATCTCTAATAACTACGTTATTCTCATAATTTCCGTAAACTTCGTTTTAAAACATATATATGTCAATATATACAATAGTTCCTGATTTTAGGTTATCTTTGCTTGTCTTAATCCTGATGAAACTACCCTGGCAGGTTCGAAAAATGTTCCAACGGTTGAACCACGTCGGTTGAAGACAAATTCCGGGCGAGCTTTACGAAAAGAGGGATCCTTATCAGGGACCTGATCACGACGAACCTCATCCAAGTTGCCGTGAGCATGCAATACGAATCTCCTTAGATCTCTTGCGCTTCAGCCTATCTCTCCCGGCGTTTACCCGAAAGGGATTACTTTCCCATTAGGATCTTGTCTTTCGAGGACAAATAGTCGAAACTCGAGCCGGTGCTACTGTCCAAGCCGCCACGGTGATTTTTCCCCGAGGTGGATCCTCTTATCAGGGACCCGGCAGAGGCCCTCTTTTTTTCTTCAATTTTTACCTCTACCAGCAGGGTTACCTAATACTTCAAAGTGCCCTTACTTCTCTGCTATTACTACTTTACAAGCCCTTTTTTATCTTCTTTTTTATTTGTTTTTATAACAAAGAATAAATTAAAAGTAGGTTAGAAATTCAATAGAGAATAAATTAAAAATTAGAAATACAATAAGGAATACTTAGGGGGCCAAAAGATGTATACACATTTCAACAAAAGAAATTCCATCATTCAATCCAATCTCTGTTAACCCTTTGCAGTCGAGGACTTTTTCGGTCGGGCGTAGCTACTACTTTGGATGATTTAGCGTATATGTGACGCGTGTCCTCCAGCTAGCGTAAAATTAATTTTGTAATATTAATTTTTATATTTTTTTTGTATGATAATTTATAAAGCATTCACTAAGGTGCATTCTTGAATATCATTGATCTTATTTTTCAACAGTTCAAAATAAAGTCCATCTTTATTTGAGTTAATTTTACTTCCGAAAACCAGTTTTTAGGGTTTCTAAGCTATAATACTCTTGCCATGACCGTCGAATCCGAACTAACGTTGGAGACGTTGTCGGAACCATAGTTTCGGAGAGATATGGGATTAAATATTTTATCTCTCTTTTAAAGTCTAACACTTTACACTTTCTAACAAAGAACATAAAGAGCTAAGAAACCAATTTACGAAATAATATTGCACTTTCAACAATTGGAGATGTCGCCTCTCGCTCGCCACTGGAGTTGTAGCACGGAACGCCGTGTTGACTGAGAGTCGCCCCTCAAATCCAAAGGGTTAAAATGTGTATGTATTTTCTTGGCTCCTTCATAAATTAAAAATTCGGAATTTGATTAAAAGTAAAATAAAATCTATGTTCAATATTGGAAATAGATCATAAATAAAGTGACAGTTCAGTGATAAATAAATGACAAAGTTAATTGGGTTATTTTCTCTTCAATTTATCCAAATAATTTTCTTCTTTTTTATCAACTTGTATTTTTCATTCAAAAAGTACCCATAACAGACGTCATTTTTCCGTTTCGTACTACATATTCGATGTCAAACTGCATCTCTCCCCTCTTTTCTTTCACACCATGTACTCCCCACTCTCTACGGCTACAACGTCGGAAATAATAGGCGTCTCATCAGTCGGAAATGAATGCTTTAGATTACCGCGATAAGCTAGTAAGCGTGAAGCGTGCCTTTAGCTGCAATGCCAACCTCTGACGGTAGGGCCCTCTGTGCGGTTGACGACTTCGTAACCTGAAGATTCGTCAATGTCAGACCCCATTAGCAGCAGCCCTTCGTCTACTGTCGACTCGCTAATTCCTTCGTACGGTAAATACGGTGTAAACGTATATATACGCGATACGTATGTCCTTACAATTATACATAAAACACTGGAAATATCGGTTTTATGGGTTTAACCTAAAATTGTAGTTCAAATTCCATAAATTCAACTATGAATATTTTTTCTCTACATAAATTATAGATATATTTATTCAGTAATATATAGTCTTGTAAGTTGAAAGCAAACCCAGAATTGAAGTTGAATTCTGATGCAAATAGTTGTAATCTATCTTTGTTATATTTCATCTATAATCTATGCTACGAACAAAATTTGCAAAATGTATTTTTCTGTAGAATATTTCAAAGCAGACGACGAATGTCTACACATGACAGCACACTGTAAGACAGAATGAAATGAAACAAAACCATAACGAAATATACAATGGCTACAAAAAGTATTTGTACATACCCTTATTTTTGAATGAAGCATTCTTTTGTCAGGTTCTATATCTCATTCCATTTTCATTCAGTTATTACATTTCTGTAATCACGTAAAAGTACATAGTACCAACTGATATGAAACTTATTATATTTGGACTTGATTAATTAATATATAAATGCTATAATAAATACAACGATCTATACATATTTTTATAGCCACTGCAGGTCATCATATAACAACAATGCCATCTATCGGCTTTCCGCCACATTTTCATGCAATTATACCCTAGCTTAACATCAAAACATCAGTAATGGACAACAAACCACCGACGAATAAGAATTTATGTAAATACGGTCCATGTTTTTGGTTAACGCGCAGAGTGGGAAATAACAGTGTGGAGGTTGGCGTCCATCGCTTGTCGCTCGCTCGCGAGATAAAGGTTAATTTAACACCGCGTCGTGCTAATGCTGCAATGTACAACGATGCTAACGTTAAACATGCATCGTAAGTCCGTTTCCACGCGAAATCGTAAAGTCAGTGGGGGAAGCACCGTCTACGTTGCATTTTCGACCGTTTTTCAACAGTGCTTACAATGTATTACGAAGATAAGAGCCTCCTCGATTAAACCTGAATTCTGAGGTATCACGCTTCGACGATTCCCGCGCTACTCGAAGATTTACGCGGTACGGAGAATATCCGGCTTGCTTATCGCGTTAAGTAAATCGTTTTGTGGTTACCTTTCGATTTACGTTTACGTTTGCGTACTGCGGAACACCGTTGATACGCTTGGCGAATCGAAAAACTGGAATTAACGTGGAATCTTAATCTTAATCATCTTAATGGAATATAGTAATTATCCCTTTTTGTAGAGTGAATTAAGTGTGAAGTGAAACTTGATATTATTTAAAGGTTATGGTAACTAAATAAATCAATAGAAAAAATATTTGATGCATATTTGACAGGTTTTGGTCTGAATATTAATCGTGCATTCTGATTGGTTGATATTTCTTTTTCCTGTTAATGATTGGTTCAAAAGATTCTAATTATTATGGAGACTTGTAATGATGGAATGTATTTATGATTAACATATGTATGATCCTATTATTGTTGTTACATAAATTACATAAAATTTAAGAAGATTAAATGGTGTCCAGGTCATTAGGAATAACGAGAGGATACTTTCAAGAATTAATGTACATAAAAATCAGCGCATACGCATAAAATTTAGAACAGTTGGTAAAAACATTCGCTGGCGAAGTAGTTTTATACCTGCGTGTTCTCAACGCAATGCAATTTATAGCTCGCTATGACACGCGTTGATTTATCATAAATGTAAACCGTTTCTTGCCCGTTCGCTTTGTCATACGCTTTTAATTGCTGCTTTTAATGATCGTCATGGTCGTACCTTAAAACCGGCGTTCTGGTAATAAACCTTTTTCTGTATCCGGTGCAATGTTTGGTCGAGATCTAGAATCGAGATCTAGAAACTTCTTGAGGTTATAAAATTATGTTAATAAATCTTCTGGTTCTTTTTCTCTTCCTTTAATTGTATTTACAACTTCTATTTCCGTATTATTATGAATTGATTTTATGTTGGGATTATGGTTACAAAAGTTCCATTGAAAATACTGATCCAACTTTTGATGACTTTTGAATTCGATACATTCACAACTTAAGCGATCTAATCATGTGTTATAAATTTTGTTGAACTATTTTCACCGCTAATTTTCAGTATTTGCAACTCTAGACTATGACCGTCTACAACCTTCGGTAACCTTTGTCTCACCTTTCAGAACTTAGCAAATGTTATCTCCCTAAAGATAAACTAGTACGATAAGCATAACACGATACTAAATATTACAACCTAACCTTACCAACACTAACCTTTAAGGTTAGAAACTTCACATCGATCTTTACCAAATATTTCATTTTCTCACACTATCACCAAACACTAATTTATTCCTTCGAAAGTACCATATAAATCTCCCAAATTTACATTTTCCTCGAATTTCGATAGACGAGCACCGAACACCACTTACGCGTAACGAATGGGAAAAGTTTTTTCGATTCCATTGTGAAAGAGAAAGCGATAAGGCCGAGGAAAAAAGAACGTGAAATTAACAACGGACTCGTTATTTGAAAGGAAAAGGTGCAAGGGACACGTCTGAAACCCTCGAGACCAGATTAGACACGGCTCAGTGGAAATGAAGAAGGAAAAGAAATATATGGCGTCAAATATTTAACTTAGTGTGTTGTACCATCGAAATTGGGACAAAGAGAGGGGAGGTTGAATTGTGGAGGGTGTTAAGATTTGCAGGAAAAGAGATTCGTTGAAGATCGTTTACGATCGACAAATACAAGGGATCCAATTACTAATGACCAAGTGCTTAAACCAAGATGGCTGTTTGAAGCATTGACTATATGTATGTATACAATGACTCATACTATTTCCTGTCTCCAGTATTGTTTGCATAGGATTAGAAACATATGGTTATGTCGATATCTAATTTGTTGCGTAGACCAGCTCTCTAAATATTAGAGAAGAATAGAAACCACTTGATCCATATTTGACAGATATTGGATCAAATATCGTTCGAGCGATCTGATTGGTCGATGCTTGCTCATTGGTGACTAATTTAAAGAATTCTAATTCTTATGAAGTATATATAAAATCTTTACTATGTTGGAATTTATTTGCAATTAATACATACGATGTCGAGGTTGGTGAAATTACTCTTCGTTGATTTGGGAAAACCATTTAAAAATCAATGAAGAACTTAATGATGCGCCGATGTCACATTTTTTTCATCTTCATTTGATGATAACTTTTTCTCACAGGGTAGACAAATGAAAATTTGTTCGGACGAACTTGTACAGATTGTGTCCTCGGACAAACGAATACATTTTGCTGTTTTTTTTAAATTTGCATTTGGTAGTGCTTCATCGTCCTACGGTCTTGTTAAACCAAAATTTTTCTTTCCAAAAGACAAAACTCCCTAAGGACAAGGCAAGTAACATCTATGCGCATGGCACATACGTAGTAAGTTTCGAGTATCGACCTTCGATGCAACGACAACCCTTCCTTACGGTGCATCAATTCGCCTCGATGTTCTCCACCCAAGCACGAACGACGTTTCATGAACCGTGAGTTACGAGGATAAGAGAAAGTTGCGCGCGAGGCGCGACGCTTGAAAATATGGCGGGACCGCGTTTATATGCCGCACAAGGAGATTCCACGCGAGAAAGGGGTCTGCCATGCCGGCGAGTCTGAAACCTTTTAAAAATATCCAACGGCCGAAACGAATGGCACAGCACGGCGAGACGACCGAAATAGAAAGTCGAACTGGGCGATCTCGCCATCTGGCTAGTTCTTTTTTAAGTTAGTACTTGAAGTCTGTGTCTGGTGTTCTCTCTCTCTCTCTCTTTCTTTCTCTTTCTTTCTCTTTCTATCTCTCTCTATATATATATGTATATATTTTATTTTATTTATTAAAAACAATGTAAAATATATATACAAGGTGTCACATAATATTTGAGGGATATTAATACTAATTTATAGAATATCAGACATCAAGACAATGAGAAAACTTGAGAAATATGAATTATAAATGAGATAGAGAGAAATGTCCATCAGCTAATTAATACTCATTTCTGGTGTAAAGTACTATTGTTTATAACATGAAAAATAATCCGTAAATAACATTTCTATTGTTTTAATGTCTGGGGTCGATCTTATATAAAAATATTCACCACATATTTCACGAAACTCTGCAAAATATTCAAATTATTTGGAACAGTGTAACTAAACGGTGAAGTTGTATAGTCGAATGTAGATAATAAATAAAATTACATAATTTGTAACAAATCACATAATCTTATAAAGACTTAATAATAAACGTTAGGAGATTGTTAAAATTATTGAAAGAATATTTTTATTATATATTTTTTTCACGACTTAAGAAAAGAATGATCCTAGATAAAAGTGACAAGCTCACAATAAATCCATGCTACTTGTACGAAAATGTGCCTTCTTCCCTACGTCAGAGGAATGTGCCACGAGGCATAAAGAAAAACGAGCAGGGCGTGTATTCGAAGGATTTCGATTCCCCGCCAGATTTCGTTGTCACTGGCCAAGCTTCTCTTGATTTCTCGATTTCCCTCCACGACACCTTCGCGCACCAGG